CTGGTGAAGGTTTCCTTGGGGAAGAGCTGGGGATGCTGCTCAGTGTCACAGGGTGTCTGCACTTACCCACACGGCTGTGACTTCTCCCACCTCATTCCAGCCATTTATGGGGCCAGCAGCACACCCTCAACTTTGGCTTTGCTTGAAACACAACAGTATTTTTATAGGGGGAGTGAGCCCAGAGGGCTGCTGTCAGCAGGAAATGAGCTCCAGCTCTGGAAGGTGAGCAGCAAGTGGCTCAGGAAGGCTTCAGGAGTGTCTGAGAGATGTTCTGAGCTCAGCAGGGCAGGTGTAGGTCTCCCAGTCATACCCTGTTAGTCATCTGCTGACATTTCTTAAATTGAATTAAAAACCGTTTACTTAGCATGAGTGCAAAGGGGTGGTGAGTGATGGTGGTCCCACAGACAGCAAGGGCTGGGTGAGCTTCTTTTACATACAGCAGTATTTCCAGCAGGACCAGGGCCAGCAGTGAGGGACAGCAGCACACAGGGCAGAGCCAAGGGGTACATCAGGGGATGTCTGCAAGTATCTCTGCTGGCAGGCTTGGGGTTAGAACAGGGCAAAGACTGCAGAAAAACATCCATGACTGTTTGTGTTCAAGCTACTTCTCTGTTTGCTTTCCTCAAATATTCAAGCAAACAAGGCTCCTGGCAGAAATGTGTGTGGAAATGGCAAATGTTGCAGAATTTTCATGGAAGGCGAATTTCAAGGTAGCAGTTGTGCGGTGAACCTGGGGCTGAGGGCTCTGCTCTCCTGTCCTGGGCAGAGGCACTGGGGCCTCTGAGCAAAGCTGGGGCCCAGAAACAATTACTCCCAGGAACAGCTCCTGTCTAAGCTTCAGCCTAAGCATCACCAGAGATTACTCAGCAAATCCCTTCAGGAAATACACGTCTCAAAAAATAAAGGTAGGCTCAGGATGCTGCACCAAAGGGGTGGGAGGGGCAGCTCATGCAGAGCATGAAAATGCACCAGCAGTCAAGGAGCAAACAGACCCTGGCTCTGTGAGGCTGGACCAGACTTTGTATCTCAAAATCCTGCAGTCACCAGAGGGATTCCAGCTGCATCCTCACGGTAATGGAGCTCTGGTGCTGAGAGACAGATGGGCACCGTCCCTGTGAGCTCAAGCCCTCTGAGCCTCCAGCACCAAGGTGTCCCTGAGGGCAGAACTGCTGCTGGAAGCTCCTGCTGGGAAGAGGATTGGAGGTAGGGAATGGGGCATAGTGTGTGCCTCCATCATAGGTGACCAGGCATAGCCCATATCCTCTGTGACAATGCTCTGGGAGCATCTTCTCCTTCTCTGCACATCCAAGTTGGTTTGACAGCCTGATTTTCACCACAGCCCTGCAGACCTCACACCTTGCTCACTCCACTCCAGACTTCCCAGGACAGCTCCTTCCCTGCAGCTTTGCTCACCCCTCTGTCAGGGTGGGTGGCTCATCTCCTGGCACTGAGCACAGGGAACCCAAACCCCCCAACCACAGCCACCAGCAGCCACCTTTCACCTGCCTCTGCACCAGAAACCTATCCCAGCCATGGGTGTGTGTGAGATTTTATAGGTGATAAACCCTGGGAAAGTGGGAAACACAAGGAGAGAAGCACACTCAGCTTCCTGGCATGGCCCAACGCACTGGTTAGGAGAGCCAATGTCAACAGATAGACCCGAAGGAAGGAGCAAAACCAAATACATGGGCACTTCTCAGAACAAGAGCTGTAAAACCTGCACAAACCTGAACAAGTGCCACAACACCAGTTTATATGGTCAGAATCAACAGTTGAGCCCACTCAACATGTTTGCCGACACACAAACAACAGCCACCGTGCTGGGTTTATGGCCCAGTGCCCTTCATGGAGGCAGAGCCCAGCTCCTCCTGCTCCACTCAGCCACTTCCCTCCTCCTCTGCTCCCAAGGGATGCTGATCATTTTGCCACACTTAATACCCCATGATAAAAGGCTGCTGCTGCTCCTCTGCAGCGTTCCAGCCTGCCCTGGCTTCCATCCAGCTGGACAATGCCTGCATCCTTTCCATCAGGTGGGCTGGCAGCATCCACCCCAGAACCCTGGTAAAAAGCAGCAGCTCAGCATGGGAAGAGGATTCACTGGTGCTAACACCACTCAAGGAATCTTGCCATGGGCTGTGGGGCTGGGCATGGTGTCAGGGCAGCACTGGGGGGCTCAGCAGAAGGTGTAAAATAACAACTGCTGCAGGTCCCTATACAGCTCAGCAGCCTCTGACCTGCAGTCACTGCACCTTGAGCAGGTCCTGTGCCTCAGGTGGACGTGGCCCAGCAGGGAAGAATGGACAAAGCACTGATGGATGCCTGAGGGAAGCAGCTCATGCAGGCCAAAGGCAGCAACAGGAAATGAAGAGTGGAATAAGAAGGCAGGAGGGACAAGGGGACAAACAGCCAGGCTTCAGATCCACAGCCCTGGTACTCCCCTGCCTAGAGTCTGCTGCCACCAAGGTGGTGGGACCCAGGTGGTGGAAGCAGAGCCAAGTGCTGCCTGTGGCTCATCCATGGGTGTGTGCCTGAAGACTGCCATTGTCTGGGAGAAACGTCTGTTGACTTGGGTGTGTTTCCTGTTACAGCCACTAAAACCTGTGTGGCAACACAGGGGTGCAGGGAGGTGTCATGGGGTTATACACAGTTCAGTCCCAGTCTTGCCTTTGATGCTGCTCCCTGCTCCACATGGGAATGTTGGGCATCAGCCCCTGTTGCCAGCACAGCCCTCCCTGGGCACAGAGCTGCTGGTCACTCCCCATTCCTGACCCACCAGGAGCATTCTGGAAGATGCTGACTGTGGGCACTCCAAATTAACTCAAGGTCAAGCAGGGCTGAGTGGAAGCAGAAGCTTGTGGAGCCAGGACAGGAATGGTTTAGGAATGGTTTTGCTCCATTAGAATGGTTCCTTCAAGGTGGTGCTTGGGGCCTGATGTCAGGAGGCAGGAATGAGCTCTCTTCTCCTTGGCACAGCAAAAACAGACATGGGCTTGGCAGGAACACAGTCAAGCAAGGAGAAAGGAAAATGCAGGGAAATGAGTGTTTCAGATGGGTTTATCCCCGAGTTGGTTCTTCTGGACTCAGAGGCTGATGAGACCTGGCCCTAGTCAGGTCACAGCCATGCAGCCCAAGGCTGAATTCAGAGGTGCCCAGGTCTCCCTTTCAGCACTTCAGTCACTCAGTGCCTGAAACCTCAGTGAAGTGCCACTCTAGTCCTTTCTAGGATTTGCTTTTTCCATTATAAACAGGGCCACACTTGCCAGAACACACTTCTTGGAGAGGAGGAAACTCTGGATGCTCAGCAGCCTCCCTGCTCTCCTCTGGACTGAGCCATCCTGCGCTGTGATGTCAGTTGGGAGGGGAGACCAAGGTTGTTGCTCAAGGATATGGTGTTCTGGCTATTTATATAGAAACACTTTAAAGCAAAAGCAGTCAGCTTCTCCCTGAGAAGCCAGACCCACCCTGCTGTTAGACACACCCAGGCACATTTTCTGGATCTACCTCCAGGGCTGCACATATGGCCAGGTACCCCCTGCCCTAAAGAAGCCCAGTGGCAGGCCAGAGACCGGGCTGGGGGACCTCAGAAAGGTGGCCCAGAAGGCAGCGGGCATTGCTGCAGGCACTGGTAGCAGGGCACAGACCCAGAGCCACCTTATAATTTTCCTCCGGGCAGTGGCCAGAACCCTTTAAAACCTGCGGCTCTGCGGCACAAACTCCTGCTCCCCACCAAATCTCATTGTGACCAGCATTAAGGGATTAGCCTGTCCCTGCCCCTGCACCACATGCAGCTCCTGGGCATGGCTCGTGTCCCGCTGCCCACGGGGGGCTCGCCGGCTGCACGGCCCCGTCCAGGGCCGAGACTTCCCTAGCTCTGCCCACGGAGCTGAGCGCCCCTGGAAGATGAATGGCAGCAGATACGACCTGTTCCAGGAAACACCAGGTACCCCCCTGCTCCCCCAGCACCTGCAGCAGGGAGAGAAGCAGCTGCATAACCAGTGCTGCAGAGTTTATGTGAATGAAGGGCATTGACAGGGCCTCCAGTGTGGATTTGGAGCTGCCAAAATGTGCTTGTTCCCACTGGTATTGCTGGTCCCCCATGGGACCCCCATGTCTCTGGTTTCTGTTTTGCTTCGTTAAGGTTGAACATACCAGGTCTGTGGGTGGTGGTGGCTCATGTCCCCAGCTTGGTTCTGGGGCTCAAGAGAGAGATACCCCAACATGGGCAGCATGGTGGGTGCTGTGACTCCTATGGGAAGAGCTGGTAGAGTCAGGCTGGCATCCCATGGACACCCCAGTGATTGCCTGTGCTGTCTGAGAAATGATTCAGTCATTCTCTGGTCAGTTCCCAGTGCCTGGCATTGCTGCCCTGGGGACAGACCCTGCCACTTGCAGCACAGCCCCTGCTCCTGAGCCAGATCTGCAGGGGGACTTCCCAGACCTCATAATGAAAGCTTAGAAGCAACTAAGAGAAAAACACTTCCAGTGCAAACTTTACTGGTTGCACAGAGTCCTTACCAGAAAGGTTTTTAGTGTTCCCCTCTGTGGCCCCCTCCAGCCAGCTCTGTGCTCAGCCCCTCAGCCCCAGCACCCACAGGGACCTCAGTGTGGAGCCTCAGGAGGTTGGGTGGGCTTAGGATGCACCAAACTTATCCAAGTTCCTGCAGATCACTGCCAGCACCGTGAGGAACTTGGACATATTTGGTGCTTCCTGAGTCCTGGACCCCTGTGCTTCACAGAACCTCGTCCCCAAAACACCCCAGCAGCCTCCATTCCACTCTGGGACTCAGCAAAAATTGAGCTGCTCCTCTTGCTTGAGGAATTCCTCCCAAGCAGGGCTTGTGCTGGTGGTGGGGTTTGTGCTTCCTGGGGTAGCCTGCACACCCAGTCACCATCCCACAGGACGAGCTCCCCATGCCAGTGGGGAGTCACAAGCTGGGGGCTGCTCCCAGCAGTACCTGAGCTCTTTATCAGCTGGCAATTGATTTAGGAAAGTTCATGGCTTCAGTGTCTCATGATACGTTTACTAGAAGTAGTTCATTTCCTCAAATGATGTAGTTTATGATCATAATATATTTTAATTTCTTTATGACACAAGAGGCCAATGGCACCAGGACTTGCAGGAATGTGAAGGGACACACAATAGTGTTATCCAGTGCTGCAGACCTAGGTGGAATACTCATGGTCTGATTAGCAGTTTCCCATCTTTGTGAGCTGGGAGCCAAACATTGGCCCTGCAGTGTCCTGGCCATGGGTTTCTGGAACTGTAGGGACAGGTGATCCCCTGCCCTTGATGGCCCCCATGCAACAAATCTTGCATGTAGAAGGCTCCCATGTTCCCATACCTTGCTTTTTGCTGTGTTTTTGTTTCTCTGGCAGGGGACAGGAGGGTTGTGTCATACAGGAGGGTGTGTGGTGGGTGTACAGCTGCTGTGGACATGGAGCTCCTGAGTGTTGTCTGGTTCTTACTCACCCCTTGCTGGGGTCTGGTGATTGAGGACATTGGGGACATGACAGGTTATTCAGGCACTCTGCACACTCCTGCAGAGAAAAAAGCATTTTGCACTAACTGTTTCCTTCTGTTTCCAGAAACTAGAATCTCCCAAATTTTAACTCACCATCCCTTTGTGTTTGTTTTTTTTTCCATACCCAGCCTACCTTTCCCAATTCAGACCTGCCAGTGCTCCCACCTGCAGCAGCCTCCCTCCTTCCTTGTGCTCCCTCCCTCAGGCACACATGGCCTTGTCCTGAGATGTTCCTCCAAGTTCAGCTCCCCAGCTGGAGCTGACTTGTTGGGTCCAGGAAGATGTTTTATGGCCTTGAGGTGCCTTTGATTTGCCCTCCTCCAGGGCCATGGGCTCAGACTATCCCTGACACCCTTGCCCTGTTGCAGCTCTCCCTCCACCCCTCAGCAGCCCTGCAATCTTTTGCCTTAATTTTGAGGGAGGGCTGATCCCGACAGCCCCAGCAGCCACTGGAGGTCACTTCGAGGCATGGCTTGCTGATGCACCCAGCTTTACAAAAAAGATACTAAAAAAAAAAAAAAAAAAAGGTAAAACTTGATGTGTAACCACTGTTGATTTTGGCTGTTCACCTCCTTCACCTATTGCTCCACAGCTGGAACGATTCAGGGGCTGTTTCATGTGTGTATAATGAATGTATAAAGTCAATGAAACATAAAAGTCGTGCAAACAGCTGGCAGGGCTGAAGGGAGACACTCACTTGCCTGCCTGTGAGCTCAGTAGGGATCCTTTTCCTTGGAAGCTTCAGGATTACTTCAGGCTCAAAGGACTCATATCTACCTACTAAACAAATTCTCCCCAGGTCCAGAGCGGGCTGCTGAGATCCCTGCCACACTAAATGTGTGAGCTGGCGAGGCATGGAGAGCAATAGGTGTCTCTTGCTGGCAGCAAACCCTCTCTGCAGTGCTGCTGCTTCCCTGAGGCTCCTGCTCCCCCATTGAAATGGGGCTTAAACCACTGGATTTCATCCAGTGTAGTCAGTGAACCTGGAACAGCACATGGCAAAGTCAGAGCTTTTCTGGACTTCCTCCCAAACAGGCAGGAGAGTGTTCAGCAGCAAAGTGTCCGGGTCTCTGCTGGTCAGGGTTTGGAGGGAGTGCAGGGCTTGTGGTGTAGAGTTTTAAGGGGGGAAGTGGGATCAGTGATGGGAGCTGTAGCTTGGGCCAAGTTGCAGCCTGTGGTGTAAAGGAAGAAGATGAATCTATTCCCCTTCCTCTCTTGGGTGATTGTGTGATTTTGTATGGACACAGAGCAGACAGATTTCCAGAGTCACAACTACAAAACTGCAGTCCCCAGAGCCAGGTGCTGCTTTTAGGTGCTGCAGTGCAGGAAGAGTGATGGCAAATACCCATCAGCAAATGCCCTGGCATTTTCAAGTACAGCCACCCTTCTGGGAACAGCCCAAATTTACTGTCCTTGCATAATAACAGCTCCCAGGAGAAATAATAATTACTTCCTCAAGAGTTCAGAGCCCTTGTAAGGAAGGATAATAAACCCCTTTCCAGTCCTGGGATGAAAGGCAAGCACAGTGTTATCACCAGAGCAGTATGTGCTGAAATGGTCTGTCTGTCCCCATGTTTGCAGTTCTTTCCCTACCACTTTTGCAGAGCAGCTATTTATTTTAGCTCCAATAATTGCCTCCAGGCCCAACATCATCCCAGTTTCAGCTGAAATGCACATGTTGCTTTTGGAAAAGAGTTTGGGCAGAGTCTTATACCTTCCTTAAAGTAACTCCTCCCCATGGCCAAAAGCTGCCTCGATTCTCCAAATGGGGATTTTGTGGTCTGGGACAATATTGGTTGGCTTGGCTTCTTTTTGATAACTTTGGTCAGAAACAGCCTAAGGTTGCAATGAAGCTGCCTCTGTCACCCTGAGCTGTGCTGGGGAGCCTGCCACCACATGTCACATGCTCATCAGTGACAGTGTCTGGGGTCTGCTCAGGGATTGTTTGTCCTGGGCATTGCCCCCAGCTCCAAACTGCAAATCTGCCCCAGCAACAGGCCCTTGCTTCAGCCCTGGGGAAAGTAAATCACCAAGAGTGATTGCTGTTGAACAAGATGATAAAATTGATTGCATCTTCCCCAGGCAAGGTCTGGCACATGGCTGTGGTCTCCTCCTGCCTCTCATTGCTGGATCTTTCCAATCCACCTCCCTGAATGGAGCTGGTGGCTCATTTTCACCTCCACAAAGTGTTTTGCTGGGGCAGGGATGAGCAGTGTGCAGCTGGCAAGGGGCAAACAGACCCTAAACAACCTCTGCTGAATCATCTGTTTTCCTGGAGCCTTCCCACAGCTTCTGGGGACATTCTGGGGAGGGACATGGGAGCAGACCCCCATCTGTGTGTCTGTCATATGATTGCCCAAAGCAGAGGCAAAGATCTGCCCCCTGAGCTGGGGGCTTGTGCAGCTGCACTGACCTGCAGCCCCCCCAGCCCTAAAAAATTCCTTGGAGCTGCTTATTAACACACTGACAACTCTGCTCTGGAGTCACAGCACGCCGAGGTAGAAGGCAGGAGGGTTTGACAGTATGGCCTAAATACCCCTGTTTACAAAAAGTCTGACAAAACACAAGCCCTTGGCTTTATCTTTCCCATTTGGAAATAGTCACCGAGCAAATATACTCAAGGCATGAAAGGAGGGGGGTTTATATTGACTTTAGAAAAAGCTGTTCTTTAAAAACAGTGAAAAAAGCTCATCCTCGAGCTGTGCAGACTGGCTGCAAGACCCAAAAGTCCTGTGTAGGGGCTTAAAGCATGCCTGCTAATCTGTAGCAGTTCTATGTGAACAAGTCATGCAGTAAACTGCTCTCTGTTAATTTTTTAATGCAGAATAAACAGGTCAAGAAATGATTAGCATGAGAATAAGTTGAGCTTAATTGGGAGAATGAGAAAAGATGAGAGGGAAGAGGCAAATTGGAGTTATCAGTTAACCATACAGAGTGGCTCTGCCTGCACAAGCTCATGTTCCCTCTTGTTTTTCATCCCCGCTGAAGCTGCTTTTTTTTTTCCCCCTTCCCTTACTTAAATGTTGAGCTAAAATTGCTGGTACAAGCACAATGAAAGCCCTTGTTTCTCCTTCTCATTTTCTCTCTGCAATGGCTGGCCAAATGAATCGCAGGTGATAAGGCTCCTACCTGGTTACTCCTGAGATTCTTCCCAGAAAGGAAGCTGCTGACATTAAGTGCAAAATCCACTTTGTGCAAGTACCAGTGCTGTGCTCCAGTGCAAAATTTTCAGCATGATCCTGGGAGATCCAAAGACTGAGCAGACACGTCCGTGGGCAAGGGGAAGAGCAGTCCTCGGGACTGCTTGAAGTGGAGTTTGGTCAGTGGTCGAAGATCTATATTCTCAGATAGGCAGGACTTTGTCCACAAACTGGAATTTGAAATTTCAAAGGGGAAAAAAAAAAAAGGCAGAAAGGACCTTTGCATGTGTGGAGATGACTATGCTGGTGACGTTCCCCTGGGACTTTTGTTCTTTGTCATGAAACTTGGGCTTCCTGCTTGCCCACAGCTCGCTCTGAAATGGAGATGGGCTGAGCAGGGCCCTGACCGTGTCCAGGGCCTTGCTGCTCTGGAGAGCTTCACACCTGAGCCCACCTCTGCTTCGTGTGCTTGTGGGGAAAAAAAGGAAAAAAAAAAGTGAAATATTACAGGTCTCCAGTGGCCTTGGAGCTGCGAGTGACACGGGAGCAGAGCTCTGGAGTCAGCACTGCCAGGGCCAGCGATGGCATTGCCCGGGAAAGCTGAGGGTGCTCCTGCTGGCTCTGGGCACTGGCTTTTCTGACGGGCATTTCTTAAGAGTGCAGAGCTGTGAGAGAGAAAATCAAAGGGCAGGAGGGCCCCTGGTCATGGTCCATGCTCAGAAGTCTGCAGGCAGCCCCAGACTGGGGTGCCTGGTTGATCCACTGGCAGGCAGGGCTGTGTCCTGCATCAGGCAGGGGAGATGGGCCAGTAGGAACATAACACACACAGAGGCATCAAAAAGATGGGGCCAGGCTCCTCACAGGGTGCATGGCTGGAGATCAAGGGGCATAAAAACCGGAGAGAGGTTCAGACAGTGTCTAATCATGAGGACAGTCAAGCACCCGCTGGCTGCTGAGGCTGCTCTGCATCCTTGGAGGTGTTCAAGACCCAGCTGGATAAAGCTGAAAGGGAGCCATGCTGCTTTCAGCTGGCCCTGCTTCCAGCAGGAGCCTAGAGCAGAGACTCTGAGGTCCCTTCCAACATCAATTCTCCCCTGATCCTACAACATCCTGTTCAAGAAGCAACAGAGAAGCAAACCTTGAGAGGAGCCTGCTCACCTGCTTGACATGCAGAGTAGGTGACTGCATCCTTACCAAAAAATGCCCTATTAAATACTCTGTTCCTGATCCTTACCTATTGAGAAGCACAGATCTTATTTTCAGGGAATTCCCTTTAGGTTTGCATAAATTTGCCAGATGGAGACATATAGATAAGGCAGAATTAGTGCCATGATGTACCAGTGTGGGAAAGGATTTACTGCTCAACAGATAAAAATTAAATAATCACTTGGCACAGAACAGATCGTGCTCCAGAGCTGTCATGGTGTCCTTTGCAACCATGTCTTGACATAAGAAACAGTGGGTGGAGCATTCAGAAAATGGGGACAGGAGAGAGGAGCAGATCTGGCAGCTGAACTTCCCCAGAGCAGCTAGTCTGGGAACAGCCTTCACCTACCAACGGGTGAAAAAAACTCATAGTCTTCCAGCTATGAGTTGTCTCTCTGTGGAACAAAAATGGCAAAACATCTTCTGTAGCCAGAAGTGCTTGGAACAACCCCACGAGCAACTGCTGAATTGAACATCTCCCACCTAAAACAGCTACAGAGCTATGGGGTCCTGTTGGCCAGTACAAGCCATGACTGCATTGGCAAGCTGTCCCAAAACTCACCAGACAAGGATGCCAGGGGGGGACAAGGCAGAAGCCACCAGGGGAGACATCATCACCAGCAACAGTGCCCAGGGAGCAGCCAGTGCATTTCCATCAGAGCCCATCTCCAGGGCAGAGGAAGTGCGTGGTGTCCTTGGCTGGTCTGGCCCTCAACCTCCACACCAACATGAGGGATTTGGGAGGGGGCACTGGTGACCCACAGAGGACACTGGCAGTGAGAAAACAACACAACCCTGGGCGGAAAACACCACGTCCCATTGACAGCCCTGGCCTCGTGAGCCACCTAAGGCTCTCCAAACTTCCCCCGCTCCTTATCTGCCGCTCTCCCGCACACGCTGCCTCTCTGATTTCTATTCCTGGCCCTTTTAATCCTTCCTGCCTGGGAAGTAAACGGCCTTTGCAGCCTCCTTGCTCAGCAGGCTATTGAAGAAAAAGGTTTGTTTTGCTGAGCAGGGCAGAACAAGCCCTGCTTTTACGATATTTTACTAGACGCTGTGACAAATCCTGCACATATTTGACCTGGTGTCTGCAGCATTTATCTAATCAAAGGGATCACCGTGGCCTGGCTGGGATTGGGATGGAGGTCCCTGGGATGAGGCTATGGAGGGGGTCAGGCTCTACTCTTGCATCTCCATCCCAGTCTGCACATAATAAAACCAATTTTTGGCAAGGACTGTATCTGCCTAGAGAAAGAGCCACCAGCTCATGAGCTCTGGCTTGTCCCTCAGGAGCACTGACCTAATGACTGTTTCCCCTGCAGCAAAGGATCATTTATCACCATTCCCAAGTGACAAAGCAGGGGCTCTCCTCGTGCTCAGATTCTCTCCTGCAGACCTGTAGCCTCAGGGTAGAAGAGCTGTTCAGAAGTGCTATGTAGGTCATGGTTTTGGGGGGGGCAAAGGGCTGCTTAACAATTCCATGCGCTCCTAAAATGTGAATAGAAAATCATCACTAGCATAACTGCCTAAAGGCATGTATTGGTGTGGAGCCAGAGACCTTGGATTCGTGTTGTGGCAGTGATGGCACTGTGGCCAGGGCAGCTTGTGGTGCCAGTGGGGTTGGGGCTGCATTGGGGTGCCTGGGAAGAACAAACACAAGGCTCTGGGAGCCCAGATCAGCAGAGTGTGGACTCAGTTGCTGCTGGTTGCGAAACCACGGGGCTGTTTTCAATGCAGAGCAAACTGATACCAAATCATTAATTGCTGGTTCTCTTGCACCATGCAGCCGGTGCCATTCTGAGATCGATTAAATTCCCACTCAATGATCTCGCAATTGCACTGAAAACTCTCAGTTCTGGCTGAAGTGGAGGAGTGATGTGCCATAGGGAGCTGGGGAGGAGAGCACAGGCAGCTCTGCTCCCACTGCCCAGCCCCAGCAGGGTCAGACCCAAGGTCTGGGCGAGGCACAGACCCACTGTTGGTGCTGACAGCAGACAGGGCACCCAAAGGAAAACTGCTGCTGCTCTGCTGTAATATGTCTCGTGAAACTTTTATGACATATCAGCCAAAACCCACGGCTGGGGGTGTCCAGCACAGAGTGATTTCAGCTGTGGGACAGGAGCCACCCTGGCAATTCCCAGGGTGTCTGTGCCACCCGTCGGCCCCACTCAGTTTGGGCATGGCTGCAGAATGGGATCTGTTTATAGGGCATCCAGCCCCCTGTAAAACTTTGTTTATAGGGAAGGAAAAGGAGTAATACATTTTACTTTACATAGCAACGTGTAAATTTCCAGGCGGGATCTGACCTTCTCTGACCGTGAGGGAGAGAAAAGGAGGAGTGGAAAGGATGGAGGGAATAAGAGAAGAGAAAAGCAGGGGTGTAGGCAACCAGTGGTGAGGAGAGGAAGGCAATGACAGAAGTGGAGAAGAACCTTGTTCTCCTGGTAGGGCTTTTTCCAAATTTCCCACCCCAGGTATAAGTAAGAGCAACACCAGCAGCTCAGCATCAAGGTCAATAGCCTTTGGTGAGTGCCTGCACCCAGGAGCCAGAATCAGAAACGCCTTGAGATTCAATAATAAACAGTCAACAAGAATCACTGCTGCTCCACCAGAAAACAAAAGAGGAAAAAAAAAAACAGCTTAGTATTCAGCAATGGGTGAGATGATTAAAGATTAACCCCCTGCCTCCTGCCTCCACCCCTCTGGGAGTATAGGCCTTGAGGCTCAGCAAATCCTTTCAGAGAAATATCTGAATTAAAAGACAACAGGTAGGGGACGCAGTGAAGGCAGAGGGAGGCAGGAGGGCCAATAGCCTGGGCCAAGGGAATCGGTACAATCTGGCCCGTGTTTGCCGAGGATAATGCGCCTTTCCAAAGCCCTCATAGACATGGAGATGGCAGATTACAGCGCAGCGCTAGACCCCGCATACACCACCCTGGAGTTTGAGAACATGCAGGTCCTGGCCATGGGCAATGGTAAGTCCCCTCTGTCTTCTCCCCTCTGCTGGGTGGGATGAGCCAGGGGCTGCAGGAAGAGAAGTTCCCTGGGGTGGCCACAAAAATGTTCCTGGGGAAGGGAGATGGGGAGCTCGCAGGGGGGTTTCTGTTTCCCTAGGGGAAAACGGAGAGGGGAGAGCAGAGCTGTGTTTGGTACAGGTGGGATGGTGTCCTGCAGCCCAGAGCCCTTGGGAGAAGGCACACACCAGGAGCTGGGTGGAATGAGAGGTCCCTTGCAGACATTCTGCCCAGGGAATGGGGCTGGGGCTGAACATGGTGGGGGTCTCCCAGACCCCGGCCAAAAGTTCCTGTGTGAAGTGCTGGTTCACCAGACAGACAGCTCACCCTGTGTCTCCAGAGCCGAGAGCCAGTGCCTGGAGCAGACAGGCATTTAGCACCTGGTAGGGGTGCAAATCACTATCAGAAGTGATTTAGGCACTGCCGATGCAGCTGCTGTGGCCACAGCCCTTCCCCAGTGTGGTGCTGGGGTGGCGGGTGGCATCTCCTTTCCTGGCTCAGCCCCCAGAGAGAGGGACAAGGGGACCTTGAGGAGACAGACAAATGTTTCCATCTCTTCAGGAGTGTAGCATCACAACTAACCCTCCAGAATTCACAATGTTGGCCCACCCATTTGGGGACCAAAGAGTCTGGGTGATTAAATGCTCAGAGATAGCAAGAGATTCCTCTCCAAGTCCCCCCTAAAGTCTCTCTAAATATGAGGTTAATGACTAAACAAAGCCACAGAAAGTCGCCCTCCGAGCCCTCTCCTCCCCATGTGCTGTGTCACCTCTGCTGGGCACCTCTGTCCCAGAAGGGCTGTGCTGGCTGTGTGGGCTCTTCCATCACAGCCTATGTGGGTTTTCCCTATGTTATGGCTCTGCTCTGTCAGGGATGTAACACTGTGGTGCCAAAGTGGCTCTGCTGTGCAAAAACCCCCCACCACAGCCCCTTCTCCACTCCTGGGGGCTGGTCCTATCCATTCAGGTGCCTGAAGTCACCCCCTTTGGCTCTGCTGATATCCACCTGCACAGCCTGGGCAAGCTCAGGCTCCCTCTCTGTGCCCCTCTCCCATCCAGCAAGCATCTGCACAAGGGGTTGTGCTTTGCCCACCCCAGGACTCCATGGAGCAGAGGGGCAGG